TGTGAGGCAGCGTGGTGGAATCAGGCTCTGGTCATTTTTTGGGCATGTAGAGTTATTGGTATCATCGTAAAGCTTATTCACTTGTCTTTATTTGGATGAAAAAAAATTTCCATTTATCTTGAATACAAGTCGACATATTTGCGAAATAAGGTGGTGGGGGTCACCTGTTTTCAGAGGTAGAATTAGTGAGAAAATGGCCACCAAAGATTAGTTATTTCCTTAGCTTAAGTGTCCGTGGCAACTGAAAATTTACATTTTTGTGCCTTTAATCAACGCTTTTTCAGAAAAATCCACACAGAAATGAGTTCTTTAATGGGCATGAAAGGTATTGAGCTAAAAAACAAAAATTTGATTAAAATTCACAAACCTGAGGAAAAATGCTAATTTCTTCACTTTTATTATTTTGACGAGAGCCTGATTCCACCACGCTGCCTCACATTTAATAACTCGTAGACCCACAGGCATCTGTTAAGGGAAAAGGTCACTGTTATTTTCCTCACACAGCATGTCAGAAAAACATTCCGAGTTAAGAGTCGGGGTATCCCCGAGTCCACTCAGAGCTATCTCACAAAAGTATGCGGGCTCTCGTGATCTAGAAGTACGGTGTTCGCTTCTTATTCAATAGGCAATAGATATAGATAGCATTTGTATAGCGCATATTCCCGCTCATCAGAAGGCTCTATGCGCTTTTACACTATATTATTACCCCAGCAGACCATAGAACACTCCGAAACATTCTCAGCTTCCCGGGAAGCATACAGTGCAAGCAGCCGATTAAGCGCTCAAACACTAACAAGCTGACAAGATCTTTCGCTGTCTATAGCCAATAAGTCACGGGTTTGTAACCTGACTGAGAAGGAAAATGTCATTCTCTTTTTAAAAAATTCCTTTCACCTTTCCTGCTCTCTAATCAGGGGCGGTTTGTTAACTGGGCAAGATTTTTGTCAGCTGAACTGTTGATTAGAGGTTTATTGCTGATGACGATTTTCATTCAGTTTTAAGCAAATCCAAACAAACATGTATCAACATTCAAAAACACCTTGCCGATTTGAAGGCTCTCAAATAGACAAGTGGGATTCACTGCTGTTTTGTCGCGACATAACCTCATTCCTTCACGTTTGTTATCGCGCCGGCTCGTAACTTTAAATCGTCTCCCGTCAAGCCGTCACGTCGCGGAACTTCGTACTACGTACGAGGCCAAACACACGGCGGGCTGGGCTTAGGCCTAGCGATGACGTCAGTTCCATGGACAAATCCATCGTCAGTCCACAGAGCGATTAGCACATCCCTTAAATGCCAGATTGGCCTCTTTGTAGCTTACAAAATTAAAAATGAGACTGTCTTGAGCAGCACAGACACATGTATTATTTTATCAGCAAAACATGTATTTATCATTCAGCCTTTCTCTAACTACTATCAGAACATTTATTGTCAGCTTGGCACTAATCTTTTTTGTTTATTGACTTTTTAACCACCTATAGTTCCTGTTTGGCATTTACTCATCGTTTTCTCCCCACTAAAACTTACCTGGTCCTTAGGAGTCTGGCCGGCAAAAGAAGGAATCGTCTAGGGAAGATATAATAAAAGGAAAATTTTAACGAGGAGCGATAGACACTCAGCTGTCAGAGTCTGGGCCGAAAACCCCCTCCCTTCCTCCCCTTTTCAACCCTCACCCCAGCTAGACACCAAGTTCTATAATTAGCATTTGACACACTTCCCCACTTTGTTACAACAGTGTTCAGTGTTCAGTTCTGAGAACTGAGAAGTGCAATGAAGTACATTTGATGATATAATGATCGGAAACTTGTGTGCTTTGTCCAGCTTTGTATAGCATCTGATTGTAGACTTGATCTGCTTGGGACAGCGTCACTGGTACAGTAGCAATTGACTTTTTGTCATCGTACAGGACAGTTCTTATTACATATATTTAACGGGTCCAGTGCACGTCGATATTTTGTGTGGGGGTGTAGAAAGTACGAGTAAAGTACTGTACTGGAGGCCAGGACCAGCAGTTTATTTCTTCTCACTTTCAGTATGTTTTCTAGCTTAGACTCAAGTAGTGTGTTTCTTTTTCTGTGCCGATCAAGCGAATTTCTTTTAATCTCAGTAACTTCCATCTTACATTATTCATAATATTGTTTCTTGACGCTACCGCATATTTTAGCTCTTTCACATTATATTACAATGTTTAATGTGGTGTGTGTGAATGGGGAAGGGGGTGGGGATATCGAAAGTAGGGGTATAAAATAAGGAGAGAGAGAGAGAGAGAGAGAGAGAGAGAGAGAGAGAGAGAGAGAGAGACAGAGAGAGCATGTGTGTGTGTGTGTGTGTGTGTGTGTGTGTGTGTGTGTGTGTGTGTGTGTGTGTGTGTGTGTGTGTGTGTGTGTGTGTGGTGTGTGTGATGTGAAGGAAGGGGGTGGGGGAGGGAAAATAGTCGACCTGAAATGACCGCCGGTCAGTTCTATAAACCACGAGCCGCCACTGTCTCTAATCATGTTCTGTCATCTGCTTTCGTCTCCACTTTCTGATTTCCCCTCCCCATCCTCCCCCTTTGCCCCTTACTTGCTCTGGGCTCCTGACCCTTTCTGCTGCCTTTCTACTCCTACTCCTTGGCTCTTTCTTACTGCTGTCTTTCAGCCACAGCCCTGATCCCAATCTTAGGGTAGGTAAGATCTAACACCTAACCTTCTCGGATAAGGGCGAAAAATCTCGGAGGTACCGTATGCAAGTTGCGCACGTTAAACATCCCTGGGTGGTTCTAAAATCTGTAAGAGTAGGTTTCGGCCACCATCCGGGTAGAATTCAAAATTAATTCCTACCAAAGATAAACAGCATAATGTGTCCCACGCCCTCATGTGACCTTACGCAGTTTCACACACCGTAAACCACTTACCAAAAAAAACACACTCACAATACATACACAACACTTCTAACATTGAGCACCATTTGTGAGGCAGCGTGGTGGAATCAGGCTCTCGTCAAAATAATTAAAGTGAAGAAACTTTTTCAGCAGGTTTGTGAATTTTTATCAATTTTTTTGTTGTTTTTTTATCTCTACACCTTTCATGCCCATTAAAGAACTCATTTCTGCGTGGAATTTTCAGAAAAGCGTTGGTTTAAGGCACAAAAAATGAAAAAATTTCAGTTACCACGGGCCCTTAAGCAAAGGAAGTAGCTAATCTTTGGCTGCCATTTTCTCACTAATTTTACCTCTGAAAACAGGTTACCCCACCCCCTTCATTTGCAAATATCTCGAATCGTATTCCCAGTTATATGGATATTTTTTCATCCAAATAAAGACAAGTGAACAAGCTTTCAGATGATACCAATAACTCTACATGCTCAAAAATTGACGAGAGCCTGATTCCACCACGCTGCCTCACATTTTTGTTCAGCTTAGTGTGGGATTGGTGAAGTTGTCCAGAATAACCCGAGACGAGAATTCGTTTGAAACAAGAACAAAATACATGCTGTATGTGCGAACAGAAAGAGAGTCAGAAACAACAAAAGAACAGCCTTGGGACAATGTGCTGAGGTTTATTGTACTGTTTAGTTGGCTCCTCCTGTATACATGCAGGGAACGTGCAGACATACTTTTACCAAAGACAGATCAGTAAATCCTGTCTGAGTGATTCAAGAGAAGGAAAGTTAAGGTACTTACATGTATTAACTTTACTCAAAAGAAGTGCAATGCATCCCATGAAAAAGTATAATAATATTTTTACATTTTTTGTTGGGTTCCAACTCCACACAGTAAACAGTATGGCTGTGTTTATGTGTGTGTGTGTGTGTGTGTGTGTGTGT